CCGGATGTCTAGCCACACTGATGAGCTGTGAAACAGCGAAACAGTCTGTCTGTGGATGATGTTATATATATATATATATATATATATATATAGTCTGATAAAAAAAAAATTGGGAATGGTGCTATAAAAAGAAAACTACAAGACATCAATTCAGCATTTAATCTCCTTCAATGCAGTGCCCTTCTGAAGCTATACATTTTCTCCCTCATCATTTCTATTGATGGAAACATTCCTACGACTCCATTTGACATATTGAGCAGCTGCCTCATTGCAACTCTTGTATTATCTCGATGTCTTGAAATCTTGTTTCCTTTCATGTGGATTTGAGTTTTGAAACAAAGAAAGAGTTGCAAGGCACAGAATCTGGGGAATATGTTAGCCATTGGATCTGGGGAATGTTGTTGGCCAAAAACTACTGCACAAGCTGAACTGAATGGACAGGTACATTGTCATGGTGTAGTTGCCAGTCTATGGATGCATGTAATTCTGTCCTTTTCCAACAAACAGCAAACATAACTGCTGTACTCCTAGTTTCTTGGCTGACCAGGTGGAGCATACTCATGCATGTAGCTTATTTTGGTCTCAAAGAGGTGATCTTCCACTGTAAAGATTGAGCCTTGATTTCTGGGTCATAGTCGTAGGCCCATGATTCACCACCTGTTATAACCCTTTCAAAAAATTTTCATCTGACTTGACACAATCAAGGAGCTCCTTTGCATTGGAAACCCAATTTGAACGCAGTTTTGGCAAAAAACTTGGTAGACACATGAATCTTGTAGCACCACGCAGCTCTGCCCTCTTGGTAACTCCAATCATGCCGTGGTATCTGTTAGCAATTCCTTCAACTCCACACCCCGCAAAGAACCTCCCATTACTAGAACCTCATTCTACTATCAATGAGCAGATTGGGACTCGTTCCGTGACTTCCTCCACGATGTCCCCTGGGATGTTGTCTTTACACTCCCTGTCCAAGAATGTGCTCATCCTGGGTTAAAGCTGGAATCGAAGTTTTCATCACCTCAAGGAAATTTAAGGTCAAGTCGCACTCTTCCCCCTGGTTCTCCGCTGCTTGCTCAGCCACCATTGCCCATAGGAACCACTTCTTTCACATATTTTGTAGCGACATGTCGGACTGCAATAGACGTCTCTTTGCCTCCGCCCGTAACAAGTGTAAGCGTGTCCTCAACGAAGCTAAGTCAATATTTTCTGCTCGGATGAAGGAGCGTATTGCATCTTGCAAATTTGGCTCCAAAGATTATTGGCGGCTCTGCAAGAGTGTCCTGAACAATAGAAAACCCTCCATACCTCCTTTATTCAACCAGTTCGAGGTCTTGACCTCCTCTACCGACAAGGCTGAATGCTTTGCTCAGAAATTCTCATTTAATTCAATGCTCGACTCAACCGGTGTACCCATACCAAACTTCCCTCTAAGAACTGAGGCCCTATTGAGCGGCTTACACATAACCCTGTCATTGGTACTGGGCATTATCTCCAATTTAGACCCCCACAAGGCTAGTGGTGGAGATGGCATACCAGCCATTGTCTTGAAGAAATGTGCGCCTGAGCTAGCGCCTGCCCTCTCTAAACTGTATAATTACTGCCTCAAGGAATCCTGTTTTCCTGACTGCTGGAAGTCCTTATCCATTTTTCCTATCTTTAAGAACTCTGGAGACCCCTCTGACCCCTATAACTACCGTCCTATTAGTCTCCTACCCCTCTTCGGCAAAGTCTTCCTAATCAATGCTGAAGTGGTTAACCATCTTACATCCCATGATCTGCTCTCAGACAAGCAATATGGTTTCCGCTACGCCCGATCTACAGCTGATATGCTTACGGCCATCACTGAAACTGTCTACCGAGCCCTTCAAAATAACGGTGAGGCTCGTGCCATGGCCCTAGACATCTCCAAAGCATTTGATAGGGTTTGGCATGTTGGCCTTCTTCGTAAGCTCCAGGGTTATGGTATTACTGGTCGACTGTTTGATCTAATACAATCATTCCTGTCAAACCAAGAATTGAAGGTCGTTCTCAACGGATTCTCCTCCAGTTCCTATCCCCCGAATGCAGGTGTTCCCCAAGGCTCCATCCTTGGCACCACTCTTTTCCTTATTTTCATCAACGACCTTCCTGACGCCATAGATTCCCAAGTTGGCATCTACGCGGATGACACTACAATTTACTCCTGCCTCAAAAACAAATCTAGTGTCAGTGACAAAACTAACCTGGACGTGCATCTTGAAATGGACCTCCAATCGGTTGTTAACTGGGGCAAGAATTGGCTGGTCAACTTTAATGCCTCAAAAACTAAACTACTTTCCATTAACCACCATAGAGATCCTTCCCTGCCCCCCATTAGAATGTCTGATAGTCAACTTCTTGAGAGCAACTCCCTGCATCTGCTCGGTCTCACGTTGACTGCTGACCTGAGATGGAACAAATACATTGAGTCAATTGCTTATTCCACCGCAAGGAAAGTTGGCTCTCTGTGCCGTGCCAGGAAATTTTTCTCCCCAGAATCGATACTTCAAATATACAAATCAACCATTCGCCCTTGCATGGCGTATTGCTGCCATATATGGGGAACCTTCTGTTTACCTCGGAGTTCTTGACAAGATCCAGAGATGGATATGTAATATAATTGGCCCTGATCTGGCATCTCGTCTACAGTCACTCTCTCACAGACGTGCCGTTACCTCTCTGTCTTTTCTACAAATACTTTCATGGTAATTGCTCCAATGAGCTGCTTTCACTGGTTCCCAGACTCCATGAATTCAAGCGCCCTACGAGGCTGGCATCCCGCTCCCACCCTTACACTGTAGAAACTTTTAAATGTAACCGTCTCTTCTACTCAAATAGCTTCATACCTCGCACCTCTCGCCTGTGGAACACCCTTCTCAATTACTGTTTCCCTGAAAGTTATAATCTCCAACTATTCAAATGTAATGTCAATCGACACCTCCAGTTACCTTGACCTACCCACTATCCTTCTCCTCATCCTTTCTTCTATCTCTCCTATCTGCTCTCGCTCCAAATCTTCTGCAACCCCCTGCATCCTAGTGGCTTCACACCTTGCTCGGGGTGTAATGCTTAAAAAAAAAAAAAAAAAAAAGAAGTTCAGAGAGAATGGTCTGATAGATAGATAGATAGATAGATAGATAGATAGATAGATAGGAGCAGACTAAGAAATATAGATAGTTACTTCTGCATTTCATATAGACAGGCCAGGACAATTATTCCTTTGGGAGAAACAATTCACCTAGGACATCCTCATTTCAATCACTTGTGTTATTAAATATTCAGGAAATTTCTTTAATTTAGGCTACCAGCATTCCAGGACAATTCCAGGATAATTTAATAATTAAAACATTATTAAACAATTACTTTGATTAGAATATTCACTGCTAAATCTGAAATTCATCATCTGGGAGCCAAGTGACTCCATTTGGTGTATATTTCTTAGCTAAAAGTATAATGAGCTTGTGATCACAAACCCTGTAACTCTCTCCAGGCCAGTTTGAATTCAGAGTTTTCCTTCTCCTAATGTGGTTTCCAACCTAGGCTATAGGGTCCTATCTGTCCTGCAATTTACCCGTAGCTGGTGGGGAAGAGATGGATTCATGCCTTTTCCAATGATATTAGCACATAAGTGAGCATAACAGACACAACTGCAATTTGAACTCAGCTTGTTGATTTCTCAATCTGAGCTGCTGTTTAATATTCCACCATATATCCACAGTCAGTTAGCAATCCCAATTTTTTTTGTTTTAAGGTCAATATTGATGTTTCTTCATGATAAAGAATTTTACAAAAAGAAACAGGCTCTCTCTAGATGAAGACTATATATTTGGTTTTATCTCCAGATATAAACCAGATGGACTAGAACAGATATGTTAGAAATTTTCAATGGATGGTGGATAATTTATAAATGTGCAAGATGTATTCTGGTAAGAAACGTTGTCTGGCATGACACAGCAAACCCATTTTCCTAGCAGAGGATCTGGCAACTGATTTTTTATAATCATTGCATTTCATGTCACTGAAAGACGTGAGACCAACAAGGTGAAATTATTTGATCTCATGGATGTTAGCATCAGCCATGTTGAAGGAAGTAAAATAATTTGTCTCTAAGATGACTAAAATATAGCAGTTTCATTTCATAAGTGTTAAAATTTACAAGCCATTTCTTGTCCCAACTAACAACTGAGGTCATTCTAGAGAGCAAATGTCAGTTTTACTTTATCAAACATGTCAGACTTATTATAGGTAGGAGTAAATAGACATGTCATCAGCATTATACTGAGTTGGGAGTTAGTCTCTAAAATGACTAAAATATAGCAGTTTCATTTCATAGGCGTTAAAATCTACAAGCCTTTTCTTGCCCCAACTAACAACTGAGATCATTCTAGAGAGCAAATGTCAGTTTTACTTTATCAAACATGTCAGACTTATTATTGGCAGGAGTAAATAGTCGTATCATCAGCATTATACTGAGTTGGGAACTGATGACACCATGAAATTCATTGATGAAGATAAGAAAGAAAGTAGGTACTAAGAGAGAGCCCTTGGAGATTTTGGCATTAATTTCTCTAGCATCAGACCTGGCAATTGATTTATTTTAATCATTCCATTTCATGTCATCAGAAAATGTATGAGCAAGAAGGCACAATTAATTGATCTTATGGAGGCTAGAATCAGCCATATTGATAGAAGCAAAAATTTGTTCTCTCAGATGACTAAAATATAGCAAACAAAATAGATCCAAAGAGAGGGACTCCTGCATTAATTTGAAAGGATCTAGAATAGGTGCAGTTCAAAATAACTTTCATTACATAAAAAAAAAAACTTGTTCAGTCTGAGTGAAAATAACTCTGTCAGTCTATGTGTGTAGTTGTATAAAAAATGACCTGCATATTTTTGCAGTTTTTAGCATCACAGTTAAATAGAGTAGAAAAACAAAATTACATTAGCAAATCTCAGAATGTGTTTTGCAAAAGACTTGAATGCTTATTTTTGTTGTCATGGAAACAGAGGATCAATATTTATTTATTGCCACAGAGATTTTCAGTCTGATTACACATTTTTCTCCTCCACCTTCGTCTTCTTCTTCCTTCGTCAGACACCTGTCCTGATTTCTACCTATCCTACTTCAGGTTTCTAAAAATATTTTAAACTTGCAAATGTAAAAATATTTACCAGCAAACGAATGCTCGTCCAGACATGTCTATACACAGTTAATACCTTTATTCAAAGTAGACAAAATTGTACATATTAATATATTAAATATTGATATATTATATATATAAATATATATGTACTTACATACAAACACACACACACACATATATATTTATTAGATTCTACTTGTGTATTTATGTATTGATATATATATATATATATATATATATATGTATCTATTTATATATACAGGATGCAATGGATAAATTATCATGTAAATTGTTCAAAAATGAAAATAACATTGACATTTCATTTTAACAGATATATTTACCAAAATTATAGAAAAATGTCTTGAAATACTAAAGAGAAAATTTATTTGATAAAATCGTCATTGGCTTCAACCATGACCTCCAGACGACTTCAGAATCTCCTGCAACTCTTCTGGACTGTCTCCTTGTTTAAGTTGGTGAATGATGCTATAATCTTTTCCTTCAGTTCATCTTTTGTGTCATAAGGAATTTTGTTGTTCTCTTGCTCAGCTGTGCCCCATACATAATAATCAAGGGGTTGCAGTCTGGGGAGTTAGGTGGCCAGATGTAAGGGGTGATGTAGTGGCAGGTTTTCTGATAGCATGTTACAGAGTCCTCTAGCAGCCACCCTCTTGACCCAGGGTAACACTACCTCCTCAAGGTACTTGATGCAGGCCTCAGTGTTGAGTCTGAGACCTTCACCAACAAATTCAGGAGTTCTTTTCTTATCAGAATGATCAGTGAGATTATCAAGTTACTATACCTTTGTAATCACCATTAGACTCATTGGAATCTTTCCAAATCCTCTGCACTGTTCTCAGATTGACACCCAAACACTTTGAAATGTTCTTATTGGAGATTCTTCCGTAAATGCCAAGTCGTACAGGTTGCCGTTTCCAGATTTCTGGCAGATTGAATTGTATCATGGTGCTCTTTTTCTCACAGACAGTGCACAACTGACCCTACTATACTCTGCAGTTGATAAAATCAAAAACAATATGCATGCACGAAATTAAAATTATAAAATAGTAATAATTTGGTGCATACTCTGGCTAAAAATGGGGTTTCAATAATGACAAAAAGAACACAGTTTTGAGGCAGAATCTTTCTTCAGCAAGTCTTATCAGTCTCGGCCAGTTGTTATTAATTAATTAAGGACAGCAACTCAAACACATCTAACCAATAAAAATATCATTTATAGTAATAAGAAATGTAGATGTATCTGTACATTATATGTGTGTATATATATATATATATATATATATATATATATAAAAAGTCCCCCCAGTATTAGCATGGGATAAACCTAACAGAAGAGTGAAAGCTTTCTATCCAAAAATTAAAAAAAGCTCTTTGATTTATTGAAAAAGAATGGAATCAATTATCAAAAATTTGCACTGAGAGTATTCAAGACTAAAGGAGGATATTTTGACGAGAGCAGAATTTTATCAAAAAATGCTTTTTTCTTTTAGTCATAATAAAATTTCTAATAAAAAATCATGTCTCACTTTTTTAATTTTGTATAATAATTTTATCTTATTCAAAATACAAAACAGAAACTTTTGGGCCAATTTAAAAAATGGCCTGGGGTGGCCTCAAACTTTTGAACTGTAGTGCATATATATATATATATATATATATATATATATATATATATATATATATATATATATATATATGTTTCATTAAAAATGACAGACAAGCTACTACAGTTAAGCTTTTTATTTAATTTTTCTTGTGTTCTAACAAGAGCTTTCTTTTCTGGACAAAGGGCGTGTAAGAACTGTCCAAACGTCTTATATTTCCGAGCACTTTCAGCTATACCTTTAGCCATTATCAAGGATGATTCGATTTTTCAGCTTACTTGAGTGTGTGCGTTATGTGTATGTCTTAGTGTGTGGTAGGGATGTTTTTAATTTCCAAATACAGTTAGCACATTGTGGCTTTGTTCATAGTTAATATTGTTAAGAGTTGGCTTTTTCTTTTTTATTATTAAAGCTTCTATTATTTATAGTCTTTTTTTGCAGGTGGATGCAGTTAATATATTTGTGTTTTCTCCTAGTATGTTTCTAATGGGGTCTGGTAAATTTGTGTGTGTGTTTAAATGGGTTCTAATGGAACTGTGATCAGATAGGTGTAACGTAAGATGTCTGGATAAGCATGTGAATGTGTAACCGATGTAATTATTTATGAGTCCGGTTTGATCAGGAACACAGTTCCTTAAGGGACATTTGAACTCATAGATAATGTTCGTTCTTTGTAATTTTGACTTAGCTGGTGTGTTGTTATTTTTGAGGATAAGGTTGGCTGTCTTAAATTTTTTATGATGGATAATAAATTTGATTTTTTTATTGGAGTAGTATATTTCTTTATAATATGCCTTAGAGAAGATTTGTCATGTTTGTAATTAATATGCATTTGGTTTTGGTAATAAATGTGTATGTGATTTTTGGCTGTGTTCACTATCGTTATTACTTCTTTATATATATATATATATATATATATATATATATAAAGAAGTTAATAATCAAAGTTGAATTAGACCAGGAAACAGTAGTATTAAGAAAGTGCTCAATACACATATAAAAAGAGAAAAATTTAACATGTAGAGTTTTTAAGTATAGAAATTGGTGGGGATTAAATGAAATAGACATATATTCTTCTTATCCCACTTCAAATGAACTCAAAAGGAACTTTTTAGTATGTATACAATGGCTCATAATTTTTGATCACTGGTTAAAAGGGATTTTTGGGGTCTTAAAATGTTGTTATAGCTTATTTGCTGCAGATATTGCTATGATTCTTGCAATGATTGTCGTAATTATTTTTCATTTATTTTTAAAAAAAATATAGCTTTCATAATTTTTTTATTTTTAAAGGTAGTGAAATCTGTTGATTTTCTATATATATATATATATATGTGTGTTTGTGTGTGTGTCCATACTTAGAATATTGCTTCCATATATGGTCCAGTACCCCTGCTATTTTCCTGTTTTCCTGGAGCTCCTTGTTAAAATCCAAAGAAGAATCAGCAATATTATTGGTCCTCATCTGGTGGCTTGGCTTCAGTTACTTTTCCATCACCATAAGTTTGCCTTTTTGTGTCTTTTCTGTAAATACTTTCATGGTAACTGTTCGGATGAGATTTTCACCATCGTACCTATACTGTATGAATTTAAGTGCAATACTAGACTGGTGCCGAGATCTCATCGATTTACAGTTGAACTAGCTAGATGTAGCCATAACTTCTATGCTAACAGTTTCTTATCTCGCACCTCTTGTTTGTGGAATTCCCTTTTGGTTACATGCTTCACATCCAACTTTAATCTGCAAAAATTGAAATGTAATGCCATTCACTATCTACTGCTTGTTTGCTTTTTTCTTTTTCTACTCATTACTAATGTTTCTGCTCCTAATTCCTCCACACCCTGTAACCCCTTGTGTGCTGTGGCTAAACTGCTTTGCTTGGGGTGATACCAATTAATATATATATATATATATATATATATATATATATATATATATATTGTGAATTTCAAGTTGTCCTCAAAAGTAATTAAAGTTGCAAACACAAGTAAGAAATCAAAGGCTGAACCTGCTGCTGGACACTTGTACATAAAAACTGAAATCATATATATATATATATATATGTATATGTATATTTGTGTGTGTGTGTGTGTGTGTGTGTGTGTGTGTGTCTAGGTGTGTGTGGAAATATGTGTGTGTGTGTGTGTATTAAGTTTCTGCAAAACCTAACTGTGGAAAATCCTAAACAAACTGCACAAGAATTAGCAAAACATTTTAACAACCCTACCTTGTGTAGCTCTTGGGCCATGTACTGGGTGAACATTATTTTAAAAAATGCAAGACAGAATTAGCAAAACAGTTTATCACCCCTACCTTGAATAGCTCTGCGGCCATGTACTGAGTGAACCTTATTGTAAAAAAATGGACGACAATTAGCAAAACAGTTTAATACAATTCACAATTCTATCATATAACATCTGCATGAATTTAGAAAATGTGTCCTTTTGGAACATTATTATTATTAATAAATAAAAATAAAAATATAAAATAATAATAATAATAAATAAAATAAAATAAAACAAACAGCATTAAAACTTTGTTTAAAAGTTCTCCCAGCATGCAGCAGAAGCATTTCCTGTTTGAAAACGGATTCTTTGCACCTAAAAAAGCCAAATTCAATCTTTTTGCTATGGACCCTCAAAGGGTTAAGACATCTATTTCTTGTTAAAAGATGAAGTGACTTTCTTCCTCTATTAAATCAACACTTATAACTAAAATATATTCATACCAATAAACAGTTACTGAACCTTTCCTATTCATTAGTTTGTTGTAATGATCTGTTTCTTTTACATGATAACACAAAATCCTATATTACCCAAGTGTTATGATGTTGATTTGGGGCTAATAAGACAAATGCCAAATAACACGTAACAATAAAAAAGGGGTTTATTCGGTTGGTAAGTAGGTACAGAAATCGCCTGAGTAGTCTATAACTAACTCAGCCAAGAACTTCTCTGACTCTGTCTATCTTTTGACATGCCACTATTTAACGTCTTTGTTTGTAGACAAGTTCATCTTCAAGAGGGGTGGTAGGTTTCCTACACAACACCAAGTCACTCAGGTAAAGATTATGACACTAAAATTCTTCCTTATTATCATTATTTCCCTGTCCTTGATCCATATGACTATCATCTGTTCATATCATTACAAAATATTTCAGAAGGAAAATGTATTTTATTAATTGTGAGGCGATTAAAACTGATATGAAATTTTTCTTTGCATTGAATAATTTTATACTTGAGGTATCAGCAATTTGAAAAATAAATGGGATTATCAAAAAAGAAAATGTTATCTTGATAAAATATACCAATTATGACCAAAGAAGTATTTGTCATTTTACTATTTTGAAATTTCTTTCAAACCTAATATATATATATATATATATATATATATATATATATGAAATCAAAAATATACCTCTTCCTGATAATGAAAAAGTCATAAAAATTTGTTATCTTTTTAAAAGCCACAAACAAATAATGTTTTAGTAAATTTTGTCTTTTTTCTGTCTCTCCTAAACCCTCTTCTGCCACCCATTTACAAAATTTCTTAGGTAGGTGATGTCCTGTTTTCCTTTGCACCTTTCGATTTCAATATGTCCTGGGAGTGTCAAATTTTCCAAGCCCTCTTTTTTCATTATATATCCTAGAAATTTCAAATATTTCTTTCTGATGTTAAGTATAAGTATCATTTTTACTTCCATTTTTTTTCTAAAACTTTGCCGTTCCTCACATGTTCAGTCAGTGATATTCTCAGCATCCTTCTGTAGAACCACATTTTATTTGTTTTACTTCTTTTCTTCATCTGTGAGGAGATTTTTCAGCATTCACTACCATATTGGAAGGCTAATATTTCATAACAGTTCAGAAATCTGTTAACAGATACCATATATTTCATAAAAGATGTTACATAAAATATTAATTTTTGATGTTAACTAATTGTAGATTTGCTATTAGTGAAGTATAAAATTTTTAAATACTAATACTAATATTTATTCCCTTCTCCCAAAAGCATTATCAAAATTGTATCAGTGGAAGATGTCATAACAGCTTCATTTTTATCAGCTTAGTAGAAATCTTCATCACTTTATTACTTCCTTTATATAAGCCACATTCAGATGTACCAATGATGCCACCTCTTGATTTACGAGAAATAACTACTAGTCACTGAGTACATACATGCTTTTAATATTGTTTATCCTAGTGAGAACTTATAGTCACTGCAAGCTTGTACCATTCATCCATGAAGTTGTCTTTACTTTGGCTCTAAATACTGTTTAAATTTAGTGTTTGCAGACTAAGTACAAACTATAACAATTCTTTTTAGACAATACACATCAAATAAAAACTTGATCAAGTGTCAAATTTCACTTTAATTGAACTATTCTTCTTTTTTATGTGCTGCATCCAATCAGGATCATGGCTCTCTGCAGCTTCCTACTCCTTGTGGCCATTAGCAGCATTTCTCAATTTGCTAAAATTCATGACCTTACCCCATTCTGCATTCACACAAACTCATCAGATAAGTTGCCTTCTATTTTCCCTTGTCTCCCTTGCTCTCAATATTCTCTGTAAGGATTAAGTTTTCCAAGTTTTCCTTCTTTGTTATGTGTCCAAGAAACTTCAACTGTTTCTTTCTGATAATGAGTAAAAGTGTTCTTTTTGTTGCCATTTTCTTTAAGATTATCTTTTTGCTTATTCGCTCTGTCCATGGAATTCTCAGTATCTTTCTGTAGAACCCCATATCTGTTGCCTCCAGTTTTCTCTTCATCTATTAGGAGATTGTCCAGCAGCCCCTGCCATACATGAGGATTGACATCAGCATCACACATTCTAAAATGTCAATGTGTATTATACATGAAAATGATTTGTTCCAGAATTTCAAGAGCTACAATACATAAGTGAACCACAGAAAAATAATTATTACTACAAAGAAAATATCATGGTTTTTCTCTTTGAGTTTTTTGATGAAGCTTAATTTTCAAGTTAGTGATTTAATAATCTCAAGGTGAATTCTATGACAATAAAATATCTGTAGAAATTCTCCTACTGCATTGTTAAAATTTGAGCTTAACAACTTCAACAAAATATTGCAATAACAATCATAAATATGAATGCTGGTCAATATTTTAAGAAGGGGATACAAATGAAAGGATTCGAAATTGAGAACTTTTCCCTTTTCACTGAAACAGTTCTTTTATTTATTTTCTCACTGAAACCAAGTAAATGTCTTTTGTTTTTCTAAGTAATCAAAATGGAATAGTCCATTATTCATGAGATGGTATTTATCAATTCACCCACATTGACAAGAGATGCTAAACACTTTTTTCTTTCTCTCAAGACAAATCTTCTGGCTGAGATTGAAGTGACAAACTCAGCTTAATCTGATTCTCTCTCTCTATCTCTCTTTTCTCTTTCAACGCTTTTTTCTCTCTATTTCTCTTTTCTCTTTCAACACATTTTTCTCTCTATCTCTCTTTTCTCTTTCAACGCTTTTTTCTCTCTATCTCTCTTTTCTCTTTCAACACATTTTTCTCTCTATCTCTCTTTTCTCTTTCAACACATTTTTCTCTCTATCTCTTTTCTCTTTCAACACTTTTTTCTCTATCTCTCTTTTTTCTCTTTCAACACATTTTCTCTCTTTCTCTTTTCTCTTTCAACGCTTTTCTCTATCTCTCTTTTTCTCTTTCAACACATTTTCTCTCTATCTCTTTTTCTCTTTCAACGCTTTTTTTCTCTCTCTCTCTTTTCTCTTTCAACACATTTTTCTCTATCTCTCTTTTCTCTTTCAACACATTTTCTCTCTTCTCTTCTCTTTCAACGCTTTCTCTCTTTCTCTTTTCTCTTTCAACACATTTTTCTCTCTATCTCTCTTTTCTCTTTCAACACATTTTTCTCTCTATCTCTCTTTTCTCTTTCAACGCTTTTTTCTCTCTATCTCTCTTTTCTCTTTCAACACATTTTTCTCTCTATCTCTCTTCTCTTTCAACGCTTTTTTCTCTCTATCTCTCTTTTCTCTTTCAACACATTTTTCTCTCTATCTCTCTTTTCTCTTTCAACACATTTTTCTCTCTATCTCTCTTTTCTCTTTCAACACTTTTTTCTTTCTTTCAAGACAAATCTTCTGGCTGGGATCAAAGTGACAAACTCAACTTAATCTGATTCTCTCTCTCTATCCCTCTTTCTCTTTCAACGTCTCTCTTTCCTTCCTTCTTTCTTTCATTTTCTCTCTGAAATCAAGTAATATCTTTTCTCCTTCTTTCCATGAGATCAAAATTCAGAATAGTCCATTATTTATGAGGTATTGACAGAACATAACGGTCGTTTTAATTAAAGAAGGGATAGACAAGCTTAATTATAATAGGATATTTGTGCAGTAGCACTACTATATGTATCATGTAGTTACTCATTAAGTTTCATTATTGGTATTTTAATGTTATATAATGGTTAGCAAGCTTGTCTTGCTAGATCAGTTATGACTGAAAAGTGAGTTCAATCCTTTTTCAGTGCTCCATATTTTTCGACCTTGTGCCACATCTATGCTACACTCTGAAAATCATCATTAATCTAACAAGTGAAGTGCAGTACCCATTGAAGATTAAACTGTTTTTTTTTAGCCATGTCACTTCAGAATGTAGTCAGACATGTTGTTGCGGGCCCGGTAGCATGCAGGGCTGGTTTATTAAAAGGTGGCCTTGTGCCAGACACTACTTGGGACTACCGAATCCACAAACAAAGTAAAAATATTAAATGAGTGATCTTTAGTGAGGAAAAAGGGTCATTTAACGTATGCAAAAAATAGTAAAATATAGATAGCCAGGAGAAAACGACAAGATGAGTCTGGTGGAAAACATATATGAAATTTTATTTTAATAACAAATAATCTTGTCTCAACAGTGGAGACTATCAGAAAAGGTGAGGTCTGTTTTTAGCCTGTAGGTAGTTAGTAATATGTAGAGACTAATAGAATATTAAAGTTCCGCGCCAAAACAGAAAGACCAAGATGGCTAAGGCGGGAAAAGTTTCTTCAGAATGAAAGTTCTGGAATAGTGTCTTTTTGTACGAAAGGCGTATGTGTGCACAAATAGGAAAAGTACTCACTGCGAGGTTTAATAATGTGTGTAATGTTATCTTTTTTTGGAACTGGTTCGTAAAGGTTAGGAGTTTCAAAGGCATATGAAAAGTTCATCAATCTTCATTGAGGAAAATTCTGCGTTCCCTGATAGTGAACGTAGGGAAATTGAACAAGTCGTTCGCTGAAGGACAAGGGATCAGCCTTAAGAGTGTGGTGCCAGCCGTGTCGTAGACTCTACGTTTCTCTAGTAAGAAATGGAGGACAGTTTGAATTAGTTGTTTGCATTATGACGAGGCATTATTTCTTACAAAAGTGCGATGACGACAGTGTCATATGTTCTCGAAGTGAACAGAGGAAAGGTCGAACTAGTTGTTTGCTGAGGGACAAAGCATTTTCTTAAAAGCGTGATAGTCTCTGCATTCTCCGGTAGTAAATGTTGTTTGAACATGTTGAAGTCACAGGAAAACATTCGGCATAATGCACCAGGGAGTCAGTAGGAAATTTTGGTCAGTTAAGATATTCCAGCCTTCGTATGGGTAAGGGGCACGGAATAAATGAGTCAACCTTCTTATTCTGGTAACAGACCGCGACTGACTTGAAAAATAAAGTTTGTCAGTGAAATGCGCGGGAAGATTTCAAATTCCAGTTCAGATGGTATCAGGAGCAGCCAGTAAGCTTGAAGTCAACAAAAGGATGGCTTTCTGCTATGTCTAGTCGAAAGTGGAAGGAAGGGGTGCAAAAAATGCACGCGCAAAAGGATGGAGTCTATGCATGCTTCCACAATGTCTTTCCATGGATTCCTTTTTTTTACCATAACCTCCTTCTCCATTGTTTTTAATTCTGAATTGTCTTTCTCCGAGATTGGTTACAATTTCAAGTTAGAGAACCAATTATATTTTATCCCTAACTTTTTTAATGCTACATTTCACACAATGCTCGAGAGCCTCTCAAGGTAGAAGGATACTGTTAAAATATTTATGATGAATGCAGTAATTCTGATGAATGAATGAAAGAGTAGATTGTAGGAAGTGAAGTTTATGAGGATAGAAAGGATATATTGGCCACTGACTTGAAAAGATTGTAATATTTAGGAAAGCACTCACATGGAATTCTGTTCCATAATGTATTTTTTTCACAAAGAGCTTTCTCTTTATGTTTGGAATATGGAGGAAATGAGAGTGGTTCAACTCCATGGAAGAGGCAAGCTATTAATGTCTGCAATAGTGGAACAAAAAAAGGGAGCTCATCTGAACATTATGATTTTTTTTAATATTGCTCACCAAATACAAGTCTCAAGAGTCTCTCAATATAGAGGGTTACTGAATGAGGTTCTTGAAAGTATATAACGATTGATCCGAGACTTGAAGAAGTTCTGATTGTAGTGAACAGGGAGATATCCTCCCAGGAGTCTGTTCCACAAAGTAGAGGTTCTTGGGAAGAAGCTGTCCAAATGGAACTTCTTCCTTACCAATGGAATACAAAGGAAATGATGATTATTCAACCTGATATACATGCCATGACAAGGCTTAATTGCAAAAGTTCTGAACTAGTGGAGTAAGGAATGCAGGTCATCAGAACATTTACTATGGAAATAATGATTATGTAGCGACAGGCTTGTTACATTACCTCTGTGTGGGAAAGTGCTGTAAGGTGGAAGATAATTCATCAGCCACAAGTTCACACAGATGCTACCAAGACTGAAAACGGAAGACTGAGCAGTTCTACCCTTGATATGGCAGCAAGACTCCATTTTTGGTATGATCTGACACTAGCAAACATACAGAGATAGAGTTGTTGGGTTGAAAATAATCCACCTGCAATGCCACTTCTTTCATTCTTTTTATGTGCCATGTACTTTCAGGACATAGGCGATCATGGCTCTCCACTTCACCCTATCCCTTTTAGATCTCAGCAAGTTCCTTCCCTCTGCTTCCTGCCCCAGACCACGTTCTATCATCCACCTTCTCAAGCTTGTCAGGTATGTCACACACTGCTTTCCCTTATCTCTCTTTCCCTCTATTCATCCCGTGAGTATCAGATTCTCCAGGCTCTCCTTCCTCATTATGTGTCCCAGAAACTTCAGCTTCATCTTTCTGATGTTAATTATGTCTTCTCACTGTTTGTAACCTATCTAAGACCTCATCGTTGCTCATATGCTCAGTCCATGATATCCTTAGCATCCATGTCATTTAAAGGCTTTTAAACATTGTCAAGACTGGAAATTGGGGGTTGGGCACCTCCAGCAATACTGTATTTTTAGCCTGATCTGGAAAATAGTGATAGGCAAGTTGGCTGGAAAAGGAGAAAAGACAGTTTCATGCTTTTGCCAAGGGAATTAATGAGAAGTGAATGCAACAGACTGATATGGAATTTGAACTCTGTCTGTAAATTCCACTTACCACACTATAAACATTGCAGCTGTACTCATCTGTAGATTTAGTTTGCAGAGTAGTACACATATCATTTTGCAGTCAGCACTTAGTTTTGTAGATTCTGACATTAAGTCCAGATATATTTCTTGGTAACAGTGGGATATTTTGTTCCAATTGCTAGTAAAATATTTATTTTTATTTAAATCTACTTTTTGTGTTTTGTTTTTGCATTTTTCGTTTTCTCTCTTCTTTGCCTACCACTGATTAAAAAGTCCCATTTCCCAGAATGCAAATATATGCTTTAAGAAATGATTTTAAGCAAAATGATTTTACTTTTGTTTTTCCATAAGTTTTTAAGAAAAAAAGATTTCTTTCTTTCTTTAATTCTTCTTAATGTACATTTTTCAAAAGTGAAAATTTTTCATTTGGCAAATGGTGGGTGGCAGATGAATTAAGCACGAAAACTAATATTTTCCATGTTTTGCGAAATCATATAAATAAAATAATTTCAATTTTGTTTTTCAAAAAGTAGTGATGTATTTTAAGTATTTTTTTTTTACTTTGACTAATAAGTTTTTGATATTTACAAAAGTTTTAAGATTATCCATTCTGAGTACTTTTTCCTGCTTTTAAAATAATTGGTTGCCGTTGAAAATGATTATAGGATATTTTATTTCCCATGTAAAAACACATATTTTGAATTCTTATGAATTAAAACGACAATTCATGCAAGTGAAATGTCTAAATTATAATATGCAAATAAATAATATATAAACCTGATATCATATATAAATCATAATTTCTTCAAAAAAGAAAATTTAGGATAGTTTCCATGTCTGTTGCCAGTGATTTCTAAATCAGGATTTAATTCAATTATGACAATTCATGCAAGTGTAAATTTTAAATCCGTTTAAATTATCATATGTAAATAAATAATATATAAAATCTTATATATATAAATCATCATTACTTCACAAATGGATATTTGTGACGTTTTTTTTTGTGACTGCTGACAGTTCTTTGGTATTTAATGTTGCCGATACAGGAATGCCTTTCTATATAGACAGTTGGAGAGATTTTGACAGACAATGAAGGTTGCACCCCTGCTGTTGCCTGTTAAATTCTGGACCTCTATATCACTCTGTTGGTTACCTCTGGCTCACTCAGACCATGGTTAAATCTACATGAGATGATAAACTTTTCAAGAAATTCTTGCATTTCTTTAGTGAGGTCTGATCAACCAGAGACTAATCTTCTGACTACTAAGGAGTTTGGGGAAGGCAATTGGTTTCCACCTCTCTTGCCATATAGTCTGCCAACCACATTATACTATATGTAGTGTACAAGGGTGGGCTAAACAGTTCATTGGCTGAATATGAAGGGATGATGCTAGAGCTGTGATATCTTGCATGCTTTATTTTCAACTCTTCTTATTAATAACCGCATTGTTTCTTTCCAGGTACAAGGATGGGAAGAAAATTTCATAGGCAAACTATAAAGGAATGATGCTAGAACTGTGAAATCTTGCATGCCTTAATTTCAGATCATCTTATTAATAGCTGCATTGATTCTTTTCAGGAAAACTTCAGGCTGTTCAAAAAAGATTGTTCATTCCATTAGTCAAAAAAGTTATCAAAAGCAGATACGACATCATCTTCACTGTAATACTAGTTCTCAGCTAAGTGTTTTTTTCATG